TATTTTAGTTAATAAATGACATGTAGAGCAATAGATCGTTGTAAACAATATAATACAAATGTAATCAAATATAATCTAACGCATTGCGAATTTCCAAGAAAAAGAGTTTTATATACTTAAACAATAAGAGATTATTTTCGTTGGGAAGAAATGCTTTAAACCAATTGTGTTGAGTGTTTTCAGAGTTATAACAATCATTCATAAGCAAGTGTAAGTTTCTTTTTAAATGATAATTTATCTTACCTATACATATTTTAGTTAAAACCAACAAAAAAAAAAAAAAAACGATATCTCTTCATTGTCCATAAAAAGAGGAATGTAGTATTTAAAGTTTTATCAAATAAAGCATCCTTATTCTTTAAACAATTTTTTGTTAAAATGAGAGAGCTTTGTCTATTATTAAAATAACATATATTATGGTGAGATAGGAAAAAGATAAGAAATATTGAGAACGTTTATCGAAAATGAAATTAATATTTTATTTCGTGCATCATTAGCAATTAAAATTTACCATTAAGCTAGTTGACTTTTGAGGAAGAGCATTTAGGTTTTAGCGAGTGCATGTCAATTATAGGAAATTTGAAACAAATTGTAAAATATCATAAAATATATCGATGACTCGTTGTCAGTTAATAGAGTCAGAATAAAAGTGTGATGCATAAGAAAGTACAATTGTGGCAGTTGCGGGGATCGATGAGATAAATTCATCTTGCGTAAACTAGACAAGTGCTCGCAATTTTCAATGGCAATGCCTCTGTTGTGATGTATAAACCCGTTTTTATAAATAAGTCGTATTATTTATCGAACGTGATTATGGATTAATAGGAGGAGGAAGGCACGACGAGAGCAGAGGAGCATGTAATTCCTACATAGCTAATTGAAAAAGAGTCGTTAAAAGTAGATGCGAGGAAAAAGAGAGTCTAATGCCTTCTGAAAAAGCAGGCAAAGATTGAGATCTCGCAGCTGTTGGTCCGAAACGCGTGCACGCGAAAGGCCGAGAAAGAGGGAGTGGAGGCGTGCGTCCGAGGACTGCGTGGGTGTCCCGGTGCGCAGATTCGTGCGGGAGAATGCGTTATTAACCCGCCTTGACCCCGCGTCTATGATTACCGGCAATAATAGCCGGATGCAGGATGCGCTGACCCGCGTCTCTATTATTATGCTCGTTCGTACGCACAAGGATGAGCTTAAGAATGAAAAGGCTCGAGGCCCCCTGGCCTTTCTATTAATCTGTGCCGAATTATCTCACCACAATACTACCACGGTCCACCCATGTCGGTTATGTGCATAATATATGTATCAAGGCGATGCTCTTTGTCGTTTTATTTTTACGAGAGCGGCTTCTCGCATGGACCACGTGAAAAATTTGGCGAGCGTGAGAGGGCGGGAGGGGGAGGGGTGTACGACCATTGCGTATAATTGAGCAAGCTCGTGCCGATAATTAAGCTTATCTACGGATTCAAGGTGGGCATTAAGAGTTTCTTGCGGTCTGTGAGGCCGATGCTTTTCGACTGTTCCCAGGATTCATGACAATCGTTTATTAACACATTTCATGTTTTGATTCCATTTTCGTGGTACCGCGTTTTTGCCTCATAATTTTAAGCCTTTAATAATGCTTTGAACGTCTAACGATCTAGATTTACGTACGCAGACGCTTGGCCCCATCATTATCCGATAGATAAAAACTATCCGAATGATGTCGTCGTGTTCAGGTAAGAAGCGTCATTCGATGCGAATGAAAAGATAGGACAAGTTAGGGATAATCCTTAAAAATACCAACCACCAAGGGATCTAGGCATAATAAGTGACAAAACGTCTGGGGAATAGAGTTCGCACACGGAAGGCTCGGACAATTTAATCACAGGCGCATCGCACACGAACTTCTCGATGCATTCACGACTTATATACGCTGACAATGGGCAGGAAATATTAATTCTTAAAGGCATTATAAAATTGACTTAGTCATTGCATCTGTAAATATAAAAATCTCTCGGACGGGAATATTGAGCGCGCGGCGAGGCCTTCCTCTCGTTTAAAATCGATCGGCACGAGGCCGTCACGCGCTTATCCCTCCCTCGCCTCTCAGCCCCTCCGTACCACCCATCCCCCTCCACCCACCCGTCTTATGCCCCGTACCGCGTCACGCTCCACCCCTTGATCCGCTCACGCACACAATAGCCCTTGCCCCTAATGATAATAGAATGATGCGCGAGCGCGAGAATGACACGGGCGATTCGTCGAACGTTGTAATTCATTTTTTCGCCGGGGCGGGCAAAGAGGGGCGTCCCGTTTTTTCGTATTTCGCGCGCTCTTGAGGAGGCGGCGCCACGCGCCCACAAATCATGCCAGCAATGACGCGGCACGTGTATCAACGGGGCCACCCCTGATATTTTCGACGGGTTTCGCAAATCCAAGGGATCGCCCCTTCGTCTTTGCGATGATGCGAAGCCATTTGGAGATGCTCGGAAAAACTGGATATATCGACTGTGACGTGGATCGCGTCTCTTCTTAAAACTTGATTCTCTCTCTCTCTCTCTCTCTCTTTCTCTCTCTCTCACTAAAAAATCATGCTACTTATTGCTTCAATAAGTCACTCACAATGTTTAATACTTATGCTGTTCCCTCGGGCTCGTTCGCTATTTATGTTCGTCTTGCTTATTAAAATTATTAACCGAAAGATGCTTTAAAATATTTCATTTTATTATACCGTGCCTTGGTTATTTCGTACTATCAAACATAACTATCTATTACAGTTTAATGTGGTAGCGTATATAATACGAACAGAAAATATAACAACGTTATATAATAATATTATATTTTATGCCATTATCATAATTATATGCTTATATATAATAAGTTATTTAATATAATACGATTAATAGATTACGATTAGAAGCGTAAAGGATTAGAACGCATTAGAAAGCATTAGAACGTGCTCCATAGAATATTCGTCTAAGTCTAAGTGTGTCGTTTAAACGGAAAGAACCTTACATTGCGTTTTTAGTTTGACAGTATAATGATCTTGGAATAGAAAGAACTTGTCGAAATATTGATATTCAAACATTTATTCAAATATAATATTCAAATACCATATTAAACAGCGTTCACTGTCTGATTAATAAATCTATGCTCGCACACAGCCACAGTTAAACAACAAATTTTTTAAATATTTTTATATACTTTTATTAAAATTTCTTATAATATGAATTATAATGGTGCTTTCGAAGAAATTTATTTATAAAATTTCATTTTAACGACCGAACAATTTTATTAGTGGAAAATGAATGATCGAATGAAATTTTTGTAAAATAGAATTCCTCACAAAATGTGACATTGTACAGTATGAAAGAATTTATATTATTCAAACCATCGCTATATATTTTCATTAAAAGGAAGCGCTCGTTAGAGCCAATTAATAATGATTCGATATGCGAATTCGGAGCATTTATAGCCTGTATAAACATGACATTTAATTTAGTTGAATTGAAAATATAACGAGTTAATTTTAGAATTCAAGTCAAAAGCATTCAAAGGATACGGGTAATTTTAGTTGGATTCATTATTTACGGGATAAGCAATGAACAACGGGACGCCGAGAGAAAGAGAAAAAAACAGAGATAAAATTGCTTGGTTAAAAGAAATTCAATTTCATGCCCATGTTCTTAGTTACAGCGATGGAGATGCGAAGAACCATACTTGTGTCAGGCATCGGTAGATCTAAAATAGGGCCCCGGAGTTCGGCATCCTGTCCCTTGCATATCAACTGCGTCTGTGCGCGCCTCTATCATGCACTGATCAACATATTGCAAGTCAGCCAGCCTCCTCTGGTCCGCCCGACCTTTTCCACTCGACAATCTTCCCTTTCTTTCTCTCACAAATCTGCAGTTCTCAAAGATACACTGCACTTCCCATCATGCATTATCGACCTAAGATTTACACTTACGAATCGTTGTTTGATCCTACAATGAGACCTTGACAGTGTTCTATTATTTTTTTTTTCGCCTATCATGCATTAAATAAAACATCCGTATTTACAAATAATGGAGATGACAGTGCTGCTGAACAGAGACAAAGCTTTCCAACATATTATACTTTTCTTTTCTCCGCTTATTTAAATTCGTCTCATACTAGACTTACAGATTCACACATATCAATGTAAATATTTATTTGATTACAGATTATGCATCTGTTTTTTTTTTCTTCTTTTTTTACTTCGAATAAGGATGTAAAAATGATAACGATTCTTCATCGTCTCTTTACTAGTCTATAAATTATTCATTTAAATAATTGAACAACCATTCGATAAGATTGATTGTAATGAAAAATGAAAGTACATTGTTTAATACGTAAGTAAATATATTTCGTCGTTAAAATATTATTAATTTTAAATATAATAATTAACTTTACATACTACATGCATTTATATCATACGGCTTTGTAATTTCTTTCACATTATAATATCTTACGCTAAAAGTAAATTCTATTGTGATAAATTAATTATTAAAAAGATTTTTTTAACTCAGCCTCTTTAACCCATTTATTGTTTATCGATGTAAAGAACAAAGCTTCAGTTTGTAAACTATTATTGCAATAATTTGTTGAAAATTCTTAAATCGCGAAATTAAATCAATTCGAAGAAATAAAATAATAGTACGTAAGTGCACATAAAGTTTCCGAATTGCATAAATGATCATAGAAATTAGCAGAGAAAGACTTTTATAAGGTTAGCATCGCTTATGCTATATACAATTTAATTTTTTAATGTTTAATAAGTGCAGATTAAAGCAATACTGCGATAAGTTGATCAAATTTGACGATTGAATTCAAAATTAATAGGTCTATCTTTGTTTAAGTAAGTTTAAATTTATATGCTAATCGGAACTTACTTCGAGTTAAAAATTCAAATCTGTAATTAAAAATGAAAAATAAATTAAATATCATGTTGATGATGAAGTGTAAGCCAGTAAAAATAGTAATAAGCGGGCTTGGCTGTGGTTTTGCAGACATCGGACCTGGATACATTGCTGTGTCGGCAGGACCTCGAGCGGCTACAGAGGCTCGAAGACGAGGAGAAGGACAGTCAGATGGAGGAGTTCTTCGAGGTCGGGCCCCCAAGTTGCAGGCCTCAGGCGAGTTTTGTAGCGGCGCGAAGTGGACCCGGGGCCAATCATCAGCCACCGACTTCCGACGACGACGTATTCCTGAGGCCACCCCTCTGGGAGGACATTACCTCGAGTATACAGAAGCTCGACCCCGAGAACGCCGACATGCTCGGCCAATCTCAGACTTCCTCGCACGTACGTATTTTTTATTATTTGTCCAATTTGAGCCTTTCGGCACCGGCCATCTGAGATTACATCATTAATGTTCTGCATCATTAACGAGTCGTGACTTTTATTATTATTTTTTTATACTCAGGAACTATAATTGAACTGTCGTGTATGGATATTAAAATTTCCATGCGTTATACTTGATTACTGTTGATTAACGATATGCTGCTTATTAAATGTAAGCTTATTAAAAGTGGATGTTTATTTAGACTTTGTAATACTTTGCCAATAAATATTTCTTATTTCGCACCGAATGCATAATATTTCCATTCGTAATTTATCAATGACACATAATTATATAATAGTAACAATTATTCGAGACATTTTTTTCTATTTTAACGATAGATGTAAAGACTTATATTATCGTTGAAATGGCAATTTAACGCAGGTAAATGGTTACATTAAACAGATGTTTTTATATAATTAAATAATAAAATAAGATCACTTACATTTAGGATAGTTTATTTTAATAATCGAAGTAAAAAATTAATTCATTTAGTTGCACTTTTAAGAATAAATAAATCTTACAATACAACTCATTTTCACATTCGTTTAATATACTAATATTTTACAATAAAAATTATTTACATTATTAATCAAATTAATTATTAACTGCCTCGATAATTATTTACCCTACAGAAATATATCATAAAATTTTGCCTTGTATATTACTTATAAAAAAAAAACTTTTAACAATACTAAGGTTAGATTTTATCGAGGTCAATACATTAGCGTAGAGTTATTAATAATAGTTACGGTATTTTTAACTATATATACATATCGTCTATAACGATATGCACACACACACACACACACACACACACACACACACACACACACACACATATATATATATATATATATGTGTGTGTGTGTGTGTGTGTGTGTGTGTGTGTGTGCGCGCGCGTCTGTGTACACGAGCGTGTATGTGTATGGCACATATCTACTTTAAGAGAATAAGAAAACATTTAAGATTTAATTGATTTATTTTTTAAAAAAGCATATTATTAATAACTTCGTCAAAGTATTAATTTTAATAGGCATCGATTTTATCTAACGCTTTCCATCTACACACTATTACGGTAAATTGTCCTTATTAATTTTTATATCGTGTTTAATGAGAAACAATTAATGCAAATACTAAACTTAAATCAGCAATGAAAATGTATAGGATGAATTGATGGGTTGAAATACCTAAATACGGTTTTATTTTAAAAATTTGTTGAAAATTATAGTTACATGTAAAGCTCGAGAGTGTATCGGAGGAGCCATCGACAACACTGTCATCGCCTCAACCGGTACTGTCGCCCCAGGAAGTGAAGACTGAACCCCAATCGTTGCCGACGCTCCACCTCCTCGAGGCGCCCACCTCATCGAACTTCACAACAAGTGGCAGATCGGTCCATCACCGGACGACTGCCTTCAAGGTCTTCCCCTGTACCAATAACAACAACCCAAGCGCAAGTAACAACAACAACAACAACAACAGCAGTACACTGTAAATGATAGTTACTTTATTTATTAACCAACGTAAGCTCTCTTTTTTTTCTTCTTTATTCCTTTTTTTCTTTTCTTGTTTTTTCTTTTAATATCTTGTGCAACATAATCATCTTCGGTATTTCTTCGCATTTATTTGTTATATTTCACAAATATTAATTTACATTATAAATTAATGTATCGATGAATTATGTACGTATACATCAAAATATATATAGATCGTCAGGGCTAATTATATAGAAATGGATGATTAAAGTAGCGATCACTTTTATGATAATGCTTATGGAACAGATGTGAAAATAATGAGCGGTTACGATTGGTTCGTAATAAATTATCCATTTGTAAAGATTAAATAGTTGAAAATGTCGTTTCGGCGTAGCAACAGCAACGGCAGTAGCAGCATCATCGAGCAACAACAGCAGCAGCAGCAGCAACAGCAACAGGCTGGAGCAAATGCTACGTCGGCCCTCTACGGCTCGATGACGCGGCTGATGTACGTGTCACCTCTGACGCCTCCAATCTCGGATCCAGGCTCTCCACTAGGTGGACCACCCAGGAGGACGCCGCCGCCCCCTTACCCCCAGCCGCCCCAAGCAATGTTGCCGAATCCGGCGAACCACCGTATCCAAACTCCGACGACGGTCCATGCCAAATTCAATCGACGGAACAACCCCGAACTCGAAAAGCGCCGAGTTCACCATTGTGATTTTATTGGTGTGATTTTATACGTTCGCTTAATTCTCATCGCGCGCAATACTCGGCTAATGTTCACTTCATCTCCAACGTCTAACGTTAAAACAGATTATTTTACATTTACTTCAACTTTATCGATCGGATGCGATGAAATATTTTTATACTATTGCATAATTATTACGTCACGAGCGATTAAGAATAAACGCTTGTGTATAATGCAAGTTCGATGGAATTTTTTAATTAAAATGAAATAGAAATTACTACGATAATATTTTTTGCTTTTTAAAATTTTGGAAATTAGATGGAAGACTGATATAAAATAGATAAAATTAAAAAAAAAAAAAAAAAAATACAATTTCTTATATCTATGTAAGTATATTGTACTACACAAAATATTAATAAAAATAATATTAATAAAAATGTTCAATGACCAAACTTGCAAATGGCATTAAAATTTTTAATCACGATCAAGATAGTTCACACAATACAAAGAATTAATTTTTATAATTTTTATCAAGCTTATATCAGTAAACATTATTGATCTACATATTGAAATTGTTGACATTTTCCATTTTTTATACGTAATCAAAATATTTTCTGATTTTATTGAACTTATGTTGAAGTAATTTTTTGAAATTTATTATCAATACTTATTGCAACAAACGTTCTTTCATAATTTAACAATAAAATATCTTTAATGAATTGTCTTTAAGAGTACAATTGCTTATGTATAAAAAGAAATTTGCCATTAAAACATAGTTCTTAAAATCCGAATATTACACATGCTACATTATTATAAAAAATAAATAAATATTGAAGAAGAAAAAAAAGAAAAGAAAATGATTTGAAGCGCTATTAAATTAAGGAAAGAAACACTTTCGGGTAATAACGCCAATAGTGTCTACACTGTAAAAAGCAAAAGGAACAAGAGAAGAAGGTCGTAAAAAGCAAGGAGATTGAAAGGGAACAAGCTGGCTTTTTATTTTACTGAGTGTAACGTCGTGTCCTTTTCTTTTTCCAGGATGCACCAAGGTCTATACGAAGAGTTCGCACCTTAAGGCTCATCAGCGAATACACACGGGTAAGCACTCAAAACACAGACGCGCGCGCTTATACATATACCAGCAAACAAGCGAGGATAGCTTTTACAAAATTGCAGCTTCATAATTTTTCTCCGCTTAATGGTCCTGGCAGTAACTAAGCAATGCGATAAGAAAGCCAGACTCAAGTTCCAAAAGAGCAAGTTATTCCTTTGTTTACATTGGATATAGATAAAACCAACATTTTTAACATTTATCCGTGCATCATAAAGCTACAATTTTTTTTTCCTGGTATCTTATCAGCTGCGAAATCGACAATAGCTCGCGGACGTGTCGGGAATCCAAATTTCGTGAAAATCACTCGCGCTGCGTCACAAAACCGTCGTGTGAATCCTGAAAGTGTGAGAGATAACGACACGAACCTTTGACAAATGTGTTTTAGTACTTTCATGAATGCGTGTGCTACTCGCGAGGTACTCGCGAATCAGTCGTAGAAAACAAGTCGCGCGCTTCGTACAGGAGGCTACGCATACATAGGCCAAAAGCCTTGCGAGTATGTCTCTATGGGCGTGGTTCTTCTACACTCGAGGCTCCGCTTGCGCGCAGTCACGCACACGTGTGCAAGCGCGTGCATGCACGCATGCTCCTGCCTCGGCTATAAGTCCCTAGAAAATGCGGTAAGCGAGCTGATGCGTTGTGGGCAAGTCGCAATATGTAATGTAGCCAGACCTAACCGAAAACCTAGCGTTAAAATCTGCGATAGGTATGCAAAGTATTGCAAGGTTCGTATTTATTAATCACTAATGTAACAATAATATATAAATGTTTTCGTGTCAAAAATGTCTTTGGATGGTCTTTAGCAACAAGTAGTTCGTCTTCAAGGCTCTTGTAACACCGAAACTTTGGCAACTTACCTGATTTTATAACTATAACGTATGTGAAAATCTATCAAGCATCTAGAAATATTATATTAACGAACGAATAAAGAATTATTTTTTACTTTTCTTTATGTTTAACGTTGTATCGAAAATTCATCTACTTTTTAAATTTGCAATAAGTCCACCATCTGCACAATCTTCATTTATTATCTTCATTTATTATGTCGCTTTGCAAGTAATTTACCACTAAAGTCAGCTTAAAGAATTGTAATTCTGGTAGTTTTGGTACTGATTATTCGTTTAAAATTTCCTTTTTCTTTTCCATTTGAGAATGGTATTATAACAATAAAGAAAGCGACCACAACCGACCATAGTCTTATTTAACTTCATCTTACTAACTGAAACCAAGTCTAATTCAACCATTTAATTTCCCTAGAAAGTGCTTCAACTATATAAGATTGCATATACTTTGTAAAATTCTTATTAAAACAGTTTTCATATTATATAAATAATAATTATTATTCATTTTTTTAATGAAATATCGACTATTTCTTATAACTGTAAAGTTGTAAATATATTAATTATTAATTCTTTATTAATTAAATGCGTGAACATGATATTAGATAGATACATGTAAATAAAGTACCAGAAGATTGTACAAGAAGATTTTTCCCCGTGTTTGTATAAAACTTTTAAGCTCTAACTTATATATCTAGTGTTAAAATCACAAATTCTCCCTCCCTCCCACCCCCCACCCCCCACTTCCCTCCCCCCCCCCACCCCCCACTCGTAGATAGTATTTGCTTTTTTTTTTAATCTTAATAACCGTAAAGCTATTGTTTTGTTCTATAAAAAATACAATATATAAATTATTCCCTATTTAATTTTTATCAAAAGGGTATTTCTACTTTAGTACTGAATGGCTTATAAGCATTACAATAATATTTTTATCAATCGAATAAAGACAATTATCATAATTAATAACAAACGTCGTTTTATTATCACTGAGTTATTCGTATGTTTAGAACTATATTTATAATCGATATTTTTAATAATAATAGGAAAAAAATCTGAAGAAATTTTGAAAAGTTCATATGTCAGTATAATCACATAGAAATAATATTTTTTTCATACATTGTAATAATAGTCTTACATAGGTACTTCAATTGATTGATCTTCGCTCTCTCTCTAAGAGATTTTATCATCCTTACGGTACTCTAACCGTACCAATTTATTATTCTTAACATTTGTTTTTATACTTAAATTTGTTTAATTGTTTTTCACGAAGACTAAAATTTTATTATAAACAATCAAAACTTCATTCAATTCTATCAATTAAGGATAATTCACATTTTACAAATATTAAATGGATGGCAAAGTATTTATTAATAAGTTTTTTTTTTTTTTTTATTCCTTTATCAGTTAAAGTACGTGAAATATGCTAAGAATTGAGATTATGTCTCTTGTGAATGAAACTTTGTAATATTTGTAATAAAATTACCATCCCATGTATGATCATCAATGAGCATGAAAATGTCAATTTATTTCGTATTTGTATTTTCGTATTCGTAAATTGTAATAATGAACAACGAATTATTGAGAACGCGAGCCGAATCGTGTGCGAAGGTAATATTTGAACGCAACTTTAAATTAAATTGTGCTTCGATATTGTATTAGAGAGGTTTATTTTTGCAATGAGCCGTTGTAATTAAGCGGAATCTTTTGAGATTAAGCGCAATACCTTTGAATTAAAATACGTGCTTGGTAGGGTCAACGAGTGTAACCAAATTGCCGGTTATCAACTAGCGGTAAGGAGTACTGTTTTTACCGCAGACGCGACGTTGTATAATGACCTGACCTGCATCTGCAAAGCCTCATAATCTCTTCATCACACGGTTCACAAAAGTTTCGAAATTTTTATCTCGTATTATATAAACAAATAATGATAACAATTCAATATAATATTAACGACAATGACAACGACGACGACGACGACGACAACAACAACAACAACAACAACAACAACAACAACAACATCATCAACAACAATAATAATATCAGTGACGATAACAACAATTATAACAACGATATGAATAATAATAGTAAGAGTAATAATAAACGAATGAATTTGATCTTTTTCTCGCGGAAATGAGGTAGAAAATAAAGAGGGAGATAATGAACGAGACATTTCCGAATAATCCTAGTACAAATTGACATTTAGAAATACAATGCGCGAGTGAAGTGTGTGCTCGTTTTAGCAGAGAAAATATAAAGTTGCCAAAACCATGGAAGTAATGTACGAGTATCGAAAACGCATTTGGGTATAAAAATCGATCTTTAAAATTTTAAATCACGCGTAGCTTTCCCGGCCTTACGATAACGACATTTCGCCTTTCGGAAAACGAAGAATAACTCTGACCAACGCTACCTTAGGCAATGAAAATAGTGAGACACGAGTGTCGTGAATGTAGCGGCAACGGCCAAAGCTCCCCAGACTCGCGTTTGTCTCTACGCACGATTCATTCATTCAAAAACCATTCATCCGACGAGCAAACAGATCCCAAAACTCAGACGCCGCTCTTTGCCACTTTTCTCTTTGGATACGCTATTCGAGACCGGCCGTAGAAAGTTTGTGGCCCGCTAGTATCCGGTACTTCCTTCCCGACCCCCTTCCTCGGCCGCCATCACTGTCCCCGGTCCCCTGCCCTGCCCCCGGTCGCGCTCCGGCCCCGGCATCAAAAATCTCCGGACGCTTGCCTAACGGGTTGAGAGCCTCGGGCACGTGGCGCTCGTCGTCGTCTTGAATGAACGCGCGCTCGCATCTACAGCCTCCTCCTCCTCCTCCTCCTCCCCTCACCACACTCCGCATCGCCATCCCATCCCTCTCCTCCGCTAGCAGCAACACCACCACCACCACCACCACCACCACCACCACCCTCCACCTCCACCTCCATCTCCATCTCCACCTCCACCTCCATCTCCATCTCCACCTCCACCTCCATCTCCATCTCCACCTCCACCTCCATCTCCATCTCCACCTCCACCTCCATCTCCATCTCCACCTCCACCTCCACCTCCACCTCCACCTCCACCTCCACCTCCATCTCCATCTCCACCTCCACCTCCATCTCCATCTCCACCTCCACCTCCACCTCCACCTCCAGCTCTACCTCCTCCTTTTCGAGAAAGAGCATTCACCAAGGCAGAGCGAGGCGCGCGCGTACGTGAGCGCACCGACGAAACTCGAATGCGCGGGCGCGAGGCGAGCGGCATTCCACCTTCTCGCGAGCGCTTCCAACTTGGGCTGCTGCCGACGATGCCGATGCCTCTTTTCGCATTGGGAACGGGATACTGCAGCCAAGAACGGAAAGTACCCTTTTAAAATCAGGGTACATCTCCGGACATTGCCGGCCAATTAACCGCGACTCTCGCGCTTTTCCTTTTCTTCCGACTTTTTTCTTTTCCTTCGACGGATTTTTAAGGCCCCGTCGAGCCCCGGCACACGCACTGCTAAATGAAAGTATAACTTGCCTCTGAAATACAGAAACGCGCTGGAGTAAATAAACACGCTCGAAAGGAAAGTTGCATGCGTCGTTGTGCCGGGAGAAAATTTCATCATTAATTCCGTTCCTTTTTTCCCGTTTCTTTGCCTTATTTTCGAGGCGTTGTTGCTTTTCTTTTTTCATGAATTTTGTCGCCGGACGTGCATCGCTCGCGAGTCGTTTGAGAAAAGCCATTCGGAGAAAGGTCGTGCCGCTGTAACTTCCTCCTTCTCCCTCCCTACCTCCCTCCCTCTCCTGCCCTCCCTCGCTCACTCACTCTCTAAATCACTGCCCGCGCTCGCGACTCGCTACTTATTATCCAACAATTTTTGTCATTTTGTCAATGTTTTTTTTTAATAGAATATCATTGCAAGAATAGAGACGTTTCAGCTCCGATCGAGCAATCAACCGTTTGTCTCTTTTACCAATGTCAATGTATAATAGATTATAGGCCTCATCGTATGCACTTAAATTATTAATTAATTATACCAACGTAATGTAATAAATTTTAATTGTGTATGATTTTTCTAGCTTGAATACGGTAGGCTCTACCAGAGAATTCGATATTATTTGATAAGACCGAGCAATTATGAATATCATCTACTATTATGAGATCGCGAT